TCAGCACTTCTTGGGGAGGGGTGGCAGCATTTGGGAGTGATCTTTCTCTCTCCTCCTTCCTTTCTGTCTCCCATCTCCCCCACTCTTTTTCTTTTCTTTTTTTTTTTTGGATTATCATTTTGAAGTGTTAGGAGAAGGTAATTCCAAGGGGATTATTTGGGGGTACAAAAAATTATATTTTTAAAATGAAGTTTTAAAAGGCTATTCTGTTGGTAAGGACTACTTTTTAAAAATACATCACTCACTACTCATTTGGTCTGTAGCTTCAACTTTCTGCTCTGTGACTGCAAGTTATCCCCACACAGGACTTTTATTCTGAGTTCCAACCCTTCAGTTTAACCCCGTCTGGATCTTCCCAGGCACCAAAAGATCAACAAGTCCAGCGTGTCCCCTTATGTTCTTCCCATACAGCTCTGAAAACATACCAGAGTCTAATGATCACCCGCGAGTGCAATGGCTCTACTCTCTAGGTTTGAGTCCCGGGTATCACTTACTAGCTTTGTGACCCTGTGCAAATTATGTGACTTTTCTGTGCCCGTTTCCTCATCTGTGAAGCGATAATAGTAATAGTGATTACCTCATAGGATGGTTATGAGGTCAAATTTTCTCTCTCCCTCCCTCTCCGCCTCTTGGTGAAATAGATTGTGCTGGCGCATGGTAGGCACCACATAAAAATCAGCTAAGGTAGAACTTCCTTTCTTTCCTGTCCTGGTAGTGGGCCACATGGATCCAGCTACCCCAACCAGGAAAGTGAGCCTCAACCTAACTCTTCCATATCCAATTCCACAACAAGACAACCATTGAGTCCTTCCTGTTTCTTTCCACCTCCATCCATTTCTGCCCTGGATTGGACCTTTGTTTTGTTTTTTTCTTCTTCCTGAGCAACCTGATGGGTTAGTGACTGGTTTAAGTCTTCCCCTTTTCCTGTTCTCTATTTAGCCCCCAGTAAGTTTTCTAAAATGCAGACCTCATCACTTAACCCTCCTGAGTGCCTTTCAGATCTCACAGGGGGACATCAGCGCCAAGCGAGGGCTTCAGGGCCTGCCAGCTCCCTTTCCTCCCCGGTCTTTCTGACTGTCCTCCATATCTGCATTTCCTTATCGTCCTCTGCTGCAGATTCTCTGTCCAGTGCCTCCCACCTCGGGTTCCTTCTCTACAGTGCCTGCTGGCAGGTCACCCGGACAGAAGCTCCTTGCTCTGTCCACTGCTCCTCTGGGGTGCTTATCCGCGGCACCTGTCCTGGTTGACAGTCACCTGCTGGCATTCTCTGCCCAGCCCGCGCTCCTTCTCCTGTGATGAGTCAGTCACTCGAATCCGCTTCTGGAAGAGCAGCGCTGGGCTCCCATCTTCGTTGCAGGCGGTTCTTGGCTTTTCACTGCACCATGACCACTTACATTTAGAGTGAAGAAAGCCGTCGTCTCCCAAGTTACTGGATTGGCTGCGAGAGGGGCAGGTTCCTCTTGGCTTTGTCGACACAGCCAGTGTGTTCACCCTTTCCTGGCTTCCAGAGTTCGGTCATTTCCTAGTGGAGCAAAACAATCTCTCTTCGTAACAAAGTTTCTGGAAGAGCCGAGAAGAAATGTTACCGAGACTGTTCTCAGACCCTAGTGTGAGAATTGCTCTCTGCCTTTTGTCCAGGAGTCCGGCAGTCATGAGGGGACACGAGCTTACTGTCTGAAGCACAGATGTTAGGACGGCAGGCTTGACCTTCATTTGGTGGGTTCAGAGACGAGGGCATTTCAGTTGCAGCTCTTGGTGGCACAGACAGGGAGGTGCTCCCTCTGCCCTGTGCGGACCTGCCACCATGAGGCCCTGACAGGCCTGGAGCCAGCTCGACGCCGTCCAGTCTCCAGATGACTCAGGAAAGTGGCTCTCATGTGCATGGTTCAAACGGGGCTCTGTGGCTCTCGTTGTGTGCATATGAATTAGGCCACAAACTTAAAGAAAAGGTACAGTCTAAAGTAACACTAAAGGTATGATCATCATTTTCCCTAAACTAACATGTGGATAAGCCATTCAGCTTTCTGGAGGAAACCAAGCACCGATTGCACAACTAATGGACCACTCAGATTGCTTGTGCCAGTGCCTTGGCTCAGTGTGGGTGGGGGCAGCCGTGAGGAACTGAGTTCTCCAAAGCATGGTGGCTGGTCAACACCCAGAAGGAGGTTCAGGTGGAGTTGGTGGCTCCTCACATCCAAACTCCATTCGCAAAACATGAATCTACCTTGCCTGGCAATTCAAGGGTTTTTAGGCAAGAGAATTCTTCAGTGTTGGGAGAAGCACTCTGTGGCCGTGTCACGCCAACCATCAGAGAACATTAACCCCTTGTTCTGTGGCCCTTGGGTTTTAAAATGCGGTCAGATGTTGGGCTTCATTTGAGCCACACAACTGGAACTATCGTTAGGATCGTGGAGTTTAGTAGTAAAAACCCTGAGGTTCAGGGAGGGTTTTGCCCAGTCAGGGGTTCAAAGCAAGGGTCTCCCTCTCCCCCATGAGGGTTCATCATGACCTTAGCTCACAGCAGGAGTGTGCCGGGCAGGGGGTTTTATTTTGCTGGGTCGATATAACGAGATGTACATTCAGGATGCCCAACTAGCTGCTCACTCTGTGTTGGGGAGAGATTCCTCTCTGTGCTTCATTGCATTTTTGAGACTCCCATGAAGGAGCAGAGACTTTCACATGGCAAGGTTTGGTCACCCGATCTTTTATTTCTGGTGAAAGTGTATGTGTTAGGAGCAGGACTGGAGAGCCCCCCACCGCAGCCTGGAGGTGAGTTGGCAGGAGCAGGGGTGGGTGCCTAGGACCATTCATTACTCTCAATGCAAAGTTCTGCTTGCTTAATTAAAAAAAAAAATAGGGAAAACTATTGACTGGATTTGTGGGTTTGCTTTTCATCCAAATACAGGGTAATTATTTGATAAGTAAAATGACAGATGTGTTCTGTTTTGCTTTAATGTAGTTAACAGGGCTGAGTTGAAAGAGTCCCAGAGTAAAGGTTGAAAGGGTCTAAATCTCCTTTTTCCTCGCTGCTGCCACCTCCTCCTCTTTCTTTTTCTTTCTCTCCATCTCCTCAGAAAACATTTTATGGTTCTGTTGAACGGCGTCACTCGGGCACCTAAGACCTGCACGTTTCTCTTTGGCCTCTCTAAGTTCTAAAACCTCATTCCTGGCCCTCACAGCTCAAATCGAGGCCCTCCACTCTTTACCCTGCAGATGTGTGTTTCCTTCCTTCATCTTATTTTTCCAGTTAGCCTCYTCCTTCTGGCTAGAGGCCAGAGTAGATGCCCTGTTCCTTGGGATCCAATTATAAATGGTTATTGAAACCATCCAAACTTGCATTATCYTAGTGTACTCCCTGGAGAATATTGAAAGAAGGAGGGCTCAGTTATGTGTGTTCTAAACATCACAAGGGGCACATTGGTCTCTCCCACCTGAGCGCCAGTGTGGCCCACTGTTCTGTGGACCTGCCTCGTCTTTCCTTTGCATTTTAAGCTCCAGCCATTCCCACAGTGTCTCCCTAGCATTGCTCAGTCTCTCRGTGATTTTTTTTTAAAAAAATTATGAATAAATCATATTGTTTATTTCAGGTGGCATTTTTGGTTTTTTTGGAGCGCAAACAAATTTTGTTCTATTCCCATACGGTGACATTCTAAATGAACCCTGGCCCATGGAGTTGAGGAAGTCAAGARCTTCGTTTTGAGGCTGTGCAGTACTCCTTCCTCTCCCAACATATTCACTAACGTATTGGCCAGGGGGGATTCGCTTGRTGCTCTCTGTAGCTCTCCCTTCAGAGCATGCCCTGGATGGTGGTCACTCTGCCTGACACCCTTGGCTCTCAACCCCCTGGAGCTTGTTAGGAGGCCAGATGACACATCTTCTGCAGAATATCATGCATCAGCATGTTCAGAATGGGTCCTGGTGTCTGGGTTGCAGCACCATCCTGCAGGCTGGGAACCACTTTGCAAGACRTATGGAATCAAAAGTGTATTTTGAATGGAATTCTGTGATGGTCGTCCTAAAAGTTGTGAGGCATTGTATGTGTGTTGAAATACTATTAAGGGTGTGTGTGTGTGGGTATATGTCTCTGTGTGTGTATGTATACAAACACATATACATATGATTCACGGATGTTGTAGAATCAGTAATTATTTCTGTGGCACTGTTGATATGATTTTGCATGATGCTTTGTTTGCTGCTATTTTATAGGTTTAGGGTATTTTAACATGCCATTTTCAACATGATRTTCATTTGTCATGAACTCCTATTTATCAGGAATGAATGAGAAGAAACAAAACTCAAGTTGCAATATTTTTTCTGGTGTTTTTACTTCTGTAGAAACAATATTTGCCTTCATTTGATTCCACAATTTGTATGTCCTTTTATTGTAGAAAAACTTAAGGATATTTAGAAGACAGTCTATTCTACCTTCTTAGTCATGGCCAGAATTCAATGATGCTAACATTGATTTTCAAGCCAGAGAGAGTCCTGATTTCTTTTTAATCATCAAAATGAGTTTAAGGAATAATTTTAGCTTCAAATGTTCTTATTAATGCTAATTCTCTGAAAATGAAAGTGAATTGCTAACACACTAAAATTTAATGCAAGCTTTGATTAATTTCAGGYTCAAAGTATGAATGACACTTTCCAGTGAGGTCATTATGGTAATAGATTAATATTCCTTATATTCTTATATTAATATAAGACCTTTCCCCTCTTTAACTTTTAAAATGCTKCTTTTTTCCATATTTTTAATCAGTATCTTAGGGCTGTACATATGGTGGGATTTCCTGTTATATACTCATACACGCACACAATATAACAATATAATTTGGCCAATATCACTTCCCACTATTTCCCCCTTCCCTCCCCTCCTCCCTCCCTTCTTTAGGTGATTGACACATTGAAAGGTTGGGAATTGGAAGAATTAATGTGGAACTTATCAGTGTACAGGTGATCAGAATTCCTGAGTGCCTTAATCTATTTTTTTCTTACTTCTTTAGGGACTTTCTTCCTCGAGGGTCGGGCATTGTAACAAGACGACCTCTGGTGCTGCAGCTGGTCACTTCCAAAGCAGGTAATGAGCGGGGTTGTTGGCTGCACCCACAGGGGATGCCTTGGCACCTGCCACCTTCATTTTGGACAATGGAAATGTTCTTGGGACCACTCTGCTGTGGGCAGCTGCCTGCCTTTCTCTCCAGAATGCTATCTTTCTCGTTGCTCTTATTCCTCTGGTGACATTAAAGGGAAAGTCCTCTTTACATATAGATTTTGTTTGTTGTTTTGCTTTTCGAGACTGGACCTTGCTTTGTTGTTTGGGCTGACCTTGAACTTCTGGGCTCAAGCTGTCTTCCTGCCTCAGCCCCCTCCTATTTCAGGGGACTGTTGTTTCACKTGATAGTGTCCTTTGAAGCACAAAGTTTTTCATTTTGGTGAATTCCAATTATCGTCTTTTTTAAATTCATTGCTCATGCTTTTGATGTGATATCTAAGAATCGAATCCTTTGCCAAAATCAAGGTCCTGTTTTCTTCTAAGAGTTTTATGATTTTGCTTTTACATTTAGGCCTTTGATCCATTTTGAGTGATTTTTTTTTTAAACTGTTACATTGTTGCATTGTAGTTAGATATATTAGTGGGGTTCACTTTGACATGGCTGGGTGTGCGTGGAATGTAATTTGCTCCATTTCAGCCCCTGTCCTTCCTCGTTCCTCACCTCCCTCCTGATGTTCATTTTTAATTCACTGTGAGGTAATGGTCCACTTCATCTTCTGCTTAGGGACACACAGCAAAATTTATTGAAAAGATACTCTTTTTTACATTGCATAATCTCAGCACCCTTGTCAAAAATCTGTTGACCATAGCTACTTGGGTATGCATCTGGACTCTGAATTCTGTTCAGCTGATCTTTGTCCTGTGCCTGTTCCACACTGTCCGCATTACCCTTGCTAAGTTGAGAAGTAGGAGTTCTTCTGCCTACACTGCACCCCAACCAAGAGTGTTTTGGCTATTCTGGGTCCTTCAAAATTCTACATGAATTGTAGAACTACCTTGTTTTATCCCATCAACACAAGGCTGGTTTAACATCTGAAAGTCAATTAACTTAAGATGTCATTGCTAGGGTTTGGATATGAGGTGTTCCCCCAAAGCTCCTGTGTTAATGAAGGAAGGTGAAATGATTGGGTTAAGAGAGCTGTGGCCTAATCAGCCCCTCCTAGTTCCAATGGACCGACTGGGTGGTAACTGTAGGCAGGTGGGACATGGCTGGTCACTGGGGTGTGTCCTGGAAGGGGTCTCCTTCCCTGTAGGCCCCCAGCCCTCCTTGCTTCCTGGCGGCCACTAATGGAGTGGTTCTCCTGCCCCCTGCCCTTCCTGATGAAAACTTGTAGTGCACTTGGAATGAGGGGGAAGGTCCTCAACCTGATAAAGGGCCATGTGACAACTCGCTAGCGAAGGTGCCGAGTGGTGAGAGGCTGGATGCTTTCCCACCAAGATCAGGAGCAGAACAAGCGTCTCGGCTCTTGTCAGTGTGTTCCCCCCGTCCTGGAGGTGTCTGTTGCAGATAGTATGATTRTGTAGATAGAAAATCTGAAGGCATTCACTAAAATACTATTAGAATTAATAAATGGTTTCAGAAAGATGGCAGGGTACAAGAAAATGTATAAAAATCAATTGTATTTCTATGCACTTGCAATGAACAATCCAAACATGGAATTAAGAAAACTATTCCATGTGTACCGCATCAAAAAGAATGCACTGGTTAGGAATAAATTTAACCAAAGAAATGCAAAATGGACTATAAAGTATTATTGAAAGAAATTAGAGGAGATCTAAATTAATTGGGAAAATATCCCTTGTTCATTTATGGGAAGACTTAACAATGTTAAGACGGAAATATTCCCCCAATAGACTAATGAATTCAATGCAATTCTGTCAGAATCCCAAATGCTGATCTATGTAAAATCTGATGCTTTTCTGATTTCAGATTTTAAACCAGCCATCTCAGTCTACATTTGGCTATAGATGAAATATTTTTAATTGAGCCTCTTGGGTATGTTGGTTGTATAGTCATGTGATCTTCATTTTGAAGTTCAATACTTAACATGCACATCCTGGAGGGCTGAGAAGAGAGACCTGTGATCAGAATATCAAGCTTCCCTACCTCTGGGGTCTTCTGTGCGCATCGACCAGGGGGAAATAACCTCACACCTGAGCTCCTTTGCGGGTAACACGGGCCTTTCACTCCCCCTTCTGCTGCCCACCCCCATGTCCTGTCCAGGTTCTGATGCTCTCCCCTTGCTCCCTGCTGTTCAGCAAGGGCCACGCCACACCACCCTCTCCGTGTCTCTGTTCATGCAAAATGGACTAGAAATTGCTCCCTTCACGTACCCYGAGTGGAGCTTCAGTGCTGCTGCACCCTTTTCCGCTGGTGCCAGCTGAGAACCAGGCTCCATTTTTTATTTTGCCCTAAGTGTTCATGGGGTGATCTTGTGTGACCGTAGGCTTCCATGGATGAGGCTAATCAGAGCTGGGAAGCAGCAGCTTTTTGGTCAGCTTTCTTTTCTTTTTAAATCACTATAACCAACAGACCTGAYGGGAACAATTAGAGGAGGAAAACTTGATTTGGTGCTCAGAGGTCTGACCTTGGACGTCTGGCTCCATGCTCCAGGTCCAAGGTGAGGCAGGTCATCATGGTGGAAGGGTGTGGGGAGCAGCTGAGATCACAACAATCAGGAATCCGAGTGGCTCTGCTCACCAGGGCCAAAATCTATACCCCGAAGGCACACCTGCAGTGACCTGCCCCTCCAGCGTACCCTCCCTGCCTCCATCCCTCTCAGTTCATGCATCTAAGGATTAATGCACTGATTAGGTCAAGATGCTCCTAGTCCAGTCACTTCACCTCTAAACTCTTTTTGTCTCACGTGAGCTTCTGGGGGACCCTAATATTTAAAGCGTAACACATGCCCACTGCTCATGAGGTCCACTGGTGCCTTCAGGTCCTAATTGGGGCCAGTTCCAAAAATCCAGCTTTCTCTTCACTGATTGAGTCAGCAGRTATTTATTAAGGAACTATTTCCTGGGTGCTAGGCAGACGTCAGTCACTGGGGAGGCTCCTCTGTAATTGCAACCACAAAAGAAGCAAAATCAGCACAGCCATGTTAGGGGATGAGGAAGGTGGGCATGCGGCAGGCAGGCTGGTGGGCGTGTAGGAAGAGGGACGGAGAAGGCGGGACGGTGGGAGATGCTTCGGTCAGCTCTGAAGTGGGACTAGGAGGCTGCAGGGCTGGAGGAGCAGCGAGTGAGGGGAAGGAGAGGAGGTGGTGGACGGCTGGGGCTGCCCACAGCACTGGTCAGGAGGTGGTGTGGGTCAGGGAGCTCATTGGGGATAGTGGGTTGGAGACTTAACGTGGGTCCCGCTGGACGGAGAGAAAGGACTCTTTCCCCTGCCTGAGGCAGGGGAGCCTTGCCTTGGTTCAGCAAGCAGCCACAGGCAGTGAGAGCCTAGGGGATGGGGGACTCGGGGCTCTGCTGGTCCTGGGCCCAGAGCATGGGGCTGCAGAGCACTCGAGGAGCGTCCCGAACCTCTGGCTCCCTGGTGTCYGGTCAGCAGTCTTCCCATCCAGCTGTGGAAACCCTCGTAGAGGGCGGGCGGGGCCCAGCACAGGTGCTGTGTGGAAAACTGTAAGGAYGAGAAGGGACTGTGTTTCGATCATTAATCAGCATTATCAGCATTTAATCCTTMTGAGAACCTTCATAGATACATACTGTGGTTCTCACTTTGGAAAATGAGATCCAGCAAAGTGGTGCAATTTTTCCAAAGCCACACACACTGTGGCAGGAGTGGAGATTGATCCTGGTGTGTGTATGRTCCTGTCAATGTAGATTTAAAATAGGCAAGTCTTTGTGCTTGCTTTTATATTTGCAGAGCACAATGAACATTTTTACAGGATATTTTTAATGTCAAGAAGCATAAACATGGGAATAGTAAATCTAGAAGTTAGTAGRCTAGTTCATAATTAACCGACCAATTTCCAGCATAATGTCCATTAAGTAAAGCTTAATTGGTTGTCTTCACCTGCTGCTGTATTAGTTGCTTAACCAAGCAGCTGATTAGAGGCCCTAAGCCTTAATCTGTATGATTCATTTTTAGGACATTTGGTGCTTAACACAAAGGGACATTCCAAGAAACCATGTTGCATTGGGAGGAAGGTGAGAAAAATCACTACCCCTCTTGTTAGCAGAGGAAAACAATTAAAGTGATAGGCTTGTGGGTTCCTGCGGATGTGGCGGATGTGGCGTGGGAGGACAAGRGCTGGACAAAGCCCTGTAGAGGTGTTGGGCGAGGTCTGCAGGGCGTGGAGCAAGGGAGCAGGCAGAGGGTCATTGTGAGACATGAGACGATTTGGTGGCTTCTTCCAATGTCCTGCTGAACTGCCTGACGCCAGCTCCCGAGGTCTGACTGTGTGCTTCTTTTCTCCAGTTTGTGTTCAGCGATGCTGGGTGGCAGCTGGAAGGTGGTCTTGCTGGGAGTGTTTACACTATGGAAATTGGCCAGTGCTGCAATCTGGGCTTTCCCCCAACTAGGGAACCAGTTTCTAATCTCTAACTGGTGCCCCACTAATCTCCTCCTCAACACTCGCTCTRTTTACTGGTTAAATCAAATGTCAAACAGGAAGGAAATGTATCTGGGTATAATAATTTTTATCAACCTATTAAAGTATCATTGCTTTAAAAAATGATTAATTTGGAAGTTGATATGCCATCTGAAAGAGAAGGTTTTTTAAAAAAGATTTTGGAACTCAAATCATTCTGCATTAAAAATTACTTTTTTTTTTTTTTTTGTACTAGGGATTGAACCCAGGGGTGTTCAACCACTGGGCCAATCCCCAGCCCTTTTATATTTTATTTTGAGTCAGGATCTCGCTAAGTTGCTGAGGCTGGCTTGAGCTTGGGGTCCTTCTGCCTCAGCCTCCTGAACCACTGGGATTATAGGCATGTGCCACTGTGCCTGACTAAAAGGACTCAGAAAACAAATCCATAGGTCATGGTTGAAGATGAATGATCTTGTCTCCTGGAGA